AATGGCTTGATCGATTCCTTTCCTTTCTTTTTTTTTTTTTTTTTTTCCAAATAACACTCCAAATCCTTCTCTAACCTTCCAATTCTCTAACGAGAGTTGTCGAGAAATTCCCTTTATCTCACCTATCTATGAAATTTTTCGAGGCAAAATCCGATCGACGAGCGAATTTTCGTAAATCGGCTGTCAACCAAACGAGGGAGTACGAGTGTTATTGGAACCCGGCCTGTGTATTGGAGTACCGGAAACACAGCAGGGGGGGGCCGATGTGCTGCCACCTGCTCTATCGATCGTTCACCTAAGCAGAGTCCACCTGGACGCAGCGAGCACACGCATCGATGCGTACGCGCGTGTATACGCGTCCTGCGTGAAAAATTTCTCTCGAGTTCGTATCTTCTCTCCACATTTTTTTTTTTTAGGAATAGAAGAGATTTCTAATAGAAATTCCAGAGATTGTATAAATTTTTATACTTTTTCGTGACGAGCGAATTTTGGAAATTTAAGATTTTCCAAGAATCAGTACAAATTTTTGTGGGAAGAATGTGGAGAAGAATCGTAGGATTTTTTTTTTAATCTAAAGATTTTAAGAGTGAGATGTAAATATTCTACGAGTTCCAGAGTTATACAGTTCTAGTATTTTTATGAGAGATCTAAGGAATATTATACAGGGCTCTTAATAAATAATCCATAGGATTATGGAGATATTCTAGCGTTTTAAAAAATATCCGGGGACGTAGAAGAATTTTAGAAGCAATTACAATTTACAATTTTAAGTGTCGATATACGAAGTGTCGATAAATAATTTGAATATACGAGAAATATTATCACGACTCGAGAAGATTAAGAAGTGAATCGGGTTGGTGCAATGGCGGATCGATGAATTTGGATCTCGTATAAATTTCGAAGGTAATTAATGCCGATATTTTACGAGTCTACCGCGGATGAATATTAATGTCCGACGTAACCATAACAAATTAATATTCTATTAACACTGATGCTCCCTGACACGTTTAATCGTTACGCGATATTGCGCTTTCGAGTGTAGAAAACAGAATAATTTCCCTCGTAACGATTAATCTTGCATGCAATTTTATGTTTTTCCATTTATTATATCCTTATACGGGTCACACTACGTATTATATTATTAACGTCGTGATTTAGAATATATATCCTAGGGAGCAATGCTGATACCTTCTATGAATAACAATAGGATAAAACGTTGAATAAACGTTTTATACGTAGCACCGCCTTAATTCCAATCAAAATGTCTCATCTCTCTGTTTAAATTGCAATGATCTATTGTATTCTCCAACGGGTATATAGGAGTGATAAAACGTATTAGAATAATTATGCGAATTTACATTAAAATTTTCGTGTTTGACTAGACTTCTTCTTCGTTCTATCTTCCATTAATTATTATTTAATTTCTTTTTTTTTTCTTATCGAAGAAATTTCTTTGCTTATCCCCCCTTTCTTTTCTTTTTGTTTCAAGCGTCGAAAAATTGTCGGCTGTACACGTTTCGCATTTCCGGCTATTTTTATTTTCCAAGATAGTCGTAAAGATCCCGCTGAACAACGGGGGATGGGATTCGATGGGTGAAACGATGGCGAAATCCTGTTTGTACTTGGACGGCGAGGCGACTTTCCTCCTTCGATTCCAACAACAATCAAACACACGAGCTATTCGCAAGGATTCCAGTGAATTTTTCAATTGGATCTCTACATTCTCTCGTTTTATCCGATTTCGGCAACAGTTTCGCCAAATTTCCACGGGAAAATCGAAGTTGTTGGGACGAGGGTAATTTCAGCGTGATGAGTTTAACATTTGTAAAAATCGATGGAAAAATTTTCTCCTATTTTTTCCAGCCAGAAATTGTGTCCCTCTGAGCGAGAATAATTATTTTGAGCAGAACGGAAGGAATCGATGGATTCAAAATTCTTGTGTATCGTTGAAAGCATTTTAATCTTCTTCTTCTTTAGCTATTTTAATAAATGATATTCTGGATGGATCAAATAAATATTAAAAATTAAATAAATTAATTTTTGCTTCGATATTTTGAAGGAAACGTGCCCAATGGATAGAAGAATTCTTCCCCTCTCTGATATCCGGATGAGAATGTCGTTAATGGAGTTCAATGACAAGATAGGATTTCGTGGTAAAGCGAATATCTAGTTGCCACCTATTCAATCGGTGTTCCATTCAAAACTATCCATTCTCTGCAACATGCTTAAGACTGGCTAACCTAATTGGTACGGCTTTGGTAACCGCGGAAGATTGTTCTGTCTTCTCGTTCCCTTGTGTGCTCGACCCTGCCAAACGAATTTCGAGAAGACGACAAACTAGAAGACTAGAAGAGAGAAAGATTTCAATGGAATCACTCGAGTCCCTTATTTTATTTTAACATCAATTTGAATCGAATCATCGTCCAAAAGCGCGTTCACCCCGCCACTTGTTCGCTTAATACGTGATACGAGGTGTAAAAGGAAACCGGGGGAGAAATTTTCAAAGGAAACTTGGATTCTTGGATGTTGGGAGGTCCGCCAGTATTTCGAAACAAGAAATACTAATTGTAAGAAACATCTTTGAATAGCGTCGCCTCGAGCGAAGAACGGAAGGCAATTAACTCGATTCTTTGTCACTCGGGGGTCAAAGCTGGTGGAAAACGATCGACGTGTCCTGCGGTGCTTTTAATATTCATCCGCGAGTGCTTGCCCGAATAAATATCCTTCCTCCGAATAATTCCACGAAGAGGAATTAACACGAGGGGATCACGTTAGCGCGATTATGTAATAATAGAATTTATTAGAGGCCAGGAGGAGGTGAAAATACGAAGCTCGGATGTGAATTTAATACGAATTAATACCGAATTCAAACAATAAGATATTGAATTCCTTTGGATAGGGTTGGCTTGCACCTGTTGTTGACTTGAGTTTAATACGCTCGATAAATTCTCGATGGATCGGTTAATCTTTGATTTCTCCCTCGAAAATTCCTCTCCATTTCCATTTCAAAGGATTGCAAAGCTCGCCCTCGAGAAAATAAATCTATCTTGTGTTGAATTTCCTCGAGTTTAGAGCAATGTTGATCTCGATCATAATTTTCATCTTAACTTTTAAACGTTCAAACTTCCATCCTGATCGTCCATCGTTCGTATTATATTCGTGTAAGCTCTTATATTCTTGTAAGAGAGGTTTCTACTTTGCGAAACTGAAAAACTTTGTTAAACTTTTCTTATTCTAATAATTTTTGCAAAAATCGTCGCTCGATGTTTCGTTCAAATTCTAAGAAAAAATATATATATATACAATGTAAATAGTCCCTTCGAGTATCTCTCTCAGCATTTCAACAAAAATGAAATCCACTCTCGAATATCTTTCCAAAGATAATTCCACGGAGAGAGATCGTCTTAGGATCTTACACGATTCTCAAGAACTTGCTGATCCAATGTTTTATTTCCAAGTGATTTTACAAGCGTTAGGTCCGACACATTTGATATGGAAATTGGATGATATCGACGATCCTTTGAGACGAAAGCTCTTAAAATCGTTCGCATATGCCCCTCCTCTCATCCTTCTTGAATTTTCGCCTCTTTTGAAAATTGTTTTCGATGCTGTTTTCGTACCTCTCTATCCAGAAAAATTGTTT